AAGTTTACATTCTGATCTGAAAGCCTAAATTTCTATAAAATTCACGATATAATTGTCTGGAACTTTAAAATAAGACATCAATAGAAAGAACTTAACCTTTTTTCGTAGTAAAATATTCGCGAACATTGGAGTGTCTATGAAATAGAAGGATTCGAATATATTTTCTTTCAAGAATATTCGGGAACATTGAAATGATATAAATACTCTGTGATTTGGAGGAGGAAAGACAGTATGTTAGTAGTCAATAGTGAGTATTAGACATTATATAGTATGCAGTGATCAGTATTAGAATATTAAAGGCAGTAATGCAGCATTCAAGATAATCAATAATCAGCGATTTAGTATTAAAGTTTTATATAGTATTGCAAAGTATATTCGATGAAGATTAAAAAATAGTGTTAAGAGAATCGCCATGTTAATCGCCAACGTCAAGGGGACTTGATAGGGCACGTTAAGAAGAAGTTAAGAGAATATTGGTTGGAGATTAAAAATTATATTATTTATATGGAGATTTGAAGATATTAAGAATTATATTATCTATATGGTGATTGGAGATTGAAAAAAAAAATTATTAGAAAGAAGAATAAACAAGAACGCAATAAAGAAAAAAGAATATTTTGCCTATTTATAAATCCTATTAAGAAGAAAAATATTTTAAAATGGTAGAAGCTGACAATTAAAACATTGTGGTGTATTTGGCGAAGCAATTTCACAAAACGAAGGATAACCGAGGCTGACAGCGAAGACATTGAGTGGTGATTAAAATCTCTATTTTGGAAAACAGTTTTATTTAGGCACTCAGTGACAGAAAGGTACTAAATTTTGTTAATATAATTTAATTATTGTAATAAGAATTTTAATTTAAGGTAGGTTGTTCTAAATTTTCCTTTGTCTATATTATATATATATATATATATATATATCTGTATTCCATATTAATTATAATAAAGATAATTTCAAAAAGTGCTTACAAGCTAATTTTTTGAAAACCGCGATAGAAACCCTATATATATATATATATATATATATATATATATATATATATATATATATATATATATATATATATATAGATATATATATATATATATATAGATATATATATATATATATATATATATATATATGTGTGTGTGTGTGTGTGTGTGTGTGTGGTGTTATTTAAAAATACTAATTGCTCATAAAAAACATGCACAAACAAAACATCATAACAATATATATATATATATATATATATATATATATATATATATATATATATATATATATATACGGAACATTATGCAAAAAGTTTATTATTTTAAAAATTAAATGACTTTAGGTGACAATTGATTGGACCACCGTCGCATGCGACGGGCAAATTTACTAGTTTATAATATTTTTGTTATTTAATGGATATGTTTAGGAAGTGTTTATAAAATGCATAATATATTAAGGTGGTTTTTTACACAAAAAATAAGTAAAGTCCTCGTAACTAGCCTCACAGGAGCCCCGTGTCAAAGTTTATCGCGAGGCTCTTTTTACGATAGATATGGGACAGTGAAAAAAAATGAAGAGTTCAATCAGCTACTGACATGAATCCCAATTTTTTCTGAATGATTTGAAGAGTGAATCCCAACAGATTTTGATTTCTTTGGGTACACACTCATTGTTTTCTACTATTGACACGTATCGAAATACTACAGAAAGTTGGTCAGTTTTTGACAAATGTTTAGTTGTATGCAAAATAATTGTCATAAATGGAGCTTTTTAATTTACGAGAAAATTTTTTCTGCTTTAAAATAAGTTCTTTGAAAATAAGATTATAATTTGATATTAAACTAACATAAAATTTCCAAATTCAGCATCATGGCCTCAAAGATAACTTGCATGATACTAAAGTAAGTATAACATTTACATATGCAGTACACTTCGATAGAAAGTAATAATAGAGTGAAACACCCTCTATATTTAGAACTTTAAATTTAAACAAAAATCTATGTCAGTATTGTTCTTAAAAGTTTGTTAAGAAGTATTCTTCATTTCTCTTGCTACATATTTTTAATAAAACTTTAATATGCCAGGATTAGAAAATCACTCAGTATAAATAACTAATTTCTTTGTAGAATTGCAATTACTTTTATAATAAATTTTGCTGTACTAGCTGAAGGTCCAAATATTTTTTGACCTAACCATAAATGGATCATTTTTTATAATTCAATCAAGTAATTTTTCACATTAAACGTAAAAATATGCAAAGAATTTATTTAAATTTTAAAATAAGGGAGACTTTATTTTATGGAATAAAGTCCAGTTGTTTGAAAATGATCAGTATGTGTTTATATTTCTTTACTTATTTTAGTTGTGGGAAATATTCTGCACTGCGTCTTGAGACACCATCATGTAAACGACCTTCGAAAACTAAGCCATCAAGTCATCAATAACTCCTGCAGGATGAAAGTTGAAGAGGATTTATCGGAGAGGTCATCAAAATCATTCACCAAAATATTTCAACTTCTTCTTTTAAAGAACACCTGACAACAACGGATATCTCTTGTATTCGGAGGAATATGAGAAACGATCGTTTTCCTTTTTGTGTCACCTGTACCTAAGACAATGGGAAAGCACATCAAGCAATCCAACAGATAAATCTAAAAAGGACCGCGACAAATGTTTTGTGTTGTATAACCATTCGCAACAAAATATTATTATTTTTGGCATTCTTCCGAATTTACTTGGCGAAAGCAGATGCATGTTACTTGGATGGTACATTTCAATACCCTCCAAAATTTTTCTTGCAATTATTTACCATCCATAGCTTATTAAGAAGGCAATACTCAATTAATGCAATGATTTGAAGAAGTTGGTGTCGTTTTAAGTCCATTAAGACTTGTGGCTGACTTCGCAATTTTCATTCAAATATATGTGAACCGAATTGGGTGTTTATTTTACTTGACTCTTAGTTGGTTTCGCAAAATCCAAAACCAAAAACTTGGTTTGGTAACCACTTACAAGAGGGAAGATTCCAACGGCAACTTGCTACACCACTTATTTGGCTGGTCATTTTTGGACCCAGAACGAGTCGGCGATTGTTTTGTCAACAATTTTATACGGATATCCCTAACATGCCTTTATTTATAAAAATTGCCGATTATATGGTAGAGAACTACATTAGCAATGAGTCTCTTTTCCTTCTAACTGTTTGGGCATCCCAGTTTAGCCATATACATTTCAGCACGAATCCATGCGAATCCTTTCATTCCCATCCTTTCTTTTCCGATATAAACGGAAACAGCATATGCTCATAAATATTTTAATTTTAAATCCACGATCGAAAACCTATGCAACTTAATTTTCAGATCTTAAAACCGTTTAGATAGGCATATAGGTCGAATAGGCCACACCTTAAAAAAATCGACATTATTATCTATTTTAAAGCAATTTGCTTAAAATAATTTTTGAATTTAATAAATTACCACACAAAAGAGAAGTGTAACAGGTAACTGGCAATCTTCCGCATTAGAAACCAGCACCTTGGTGCAAAAATGCTGGTGATGAGTTTATCTATCTGCGGTGATGAGTTTACCTATCTCCAAAGGATACCGGTGATCAATTTACCATATCTCGGAGGGTCTGATAATTTTATGGAGAGCTATAAAGTGATGAGTTCGTACACGTCCATATCAGCAGCAGTAAAATTAGTCTTTATATTGGATTAAAGCACTTTACAAAACGGCCAATAATCTGATTGCTGTTGAAAATTTTTAAAAGTTGAAAAGACGATTAAGTATACGTCCTACGAAATTGTGAAATAATTTTTAAATTTTTTTTTAAATTGAATTTTTTTTCGACGTGTCGAGGGGGTTTGTAGGTCAAGGGCCCCTGTATGTCGGGTTCCTCATATATTTGATACAGCTGATACGGAGGTAGCGACGCCCTGGCAAAAACCCTTATTTGAGTATATGTTCGATAATAGGTATATAGACTTGTAAAATCGAATAAAAACAGACATAAACTAATTAAACTACAGTTATTTCATTTAAAATTTAATTTGAAATAAAATAACTACATGTAGGAGCTTGTTGTGCACATTTATTAAACGGCATCTTAATCACTTTTTGTGGTTCAGGTTGCCTACTTAAATAAGTTTCACATAAATTGGTTCAAATGCCTTCTTACAAAATTGTGGAAGAAACTTGATAAACCTGGATGTAATTATTATGTATTATATTTTATTATAGATTCAGACCAAGAGATCAGGGTACGAATAGAAATGGCAAGGGCAGCGTTCTTAAAATTTAAGCAATTGTTCTATGACAAAAATCTGAATACTTCGCTGAGACTGAGGTTTGTTGAATGTTACATCTGGTCCCAACTATTGTATGGGGTAGAAACATGGACGTTAAAAGCGCAAATAGTTATGAAGCTTAAAGCCTTTGAACTTTGGATATACCGGAGAATGATGAGAATTGTATCGACTGCGAGGGTCACCAATGAGGAAATGCTGAAAAGGATGGGTCGAAACAAAAAATTGTAGAGAACAATAAAAGTAGGCAAAACTGCATACCTTGGACACATACTGAGGAATGATAAATATATTTTTCTGCAGGTCATCATGCAGGGTAAAATCGATGGCAAAAAGGGAATATGTAGAAAGAGGAAGTCATGGCTGCGAAATATTCGAGAGTGGACAAACATGACAGTAGACGAATTATTCCACGTTTCGAAAGACAGAGAAACTTTCAGAAATTTGGTCGCCAACCTCCGTTAATGGGGACGGTATAGGAAGAAGAACATTTTATATTGTTCTATTGTTATATGCTTTTATTATATATTATTATGTATTTTATATATTGTGTTATTTAATTTAAATTGTCCGGAGACCTTAGGAATACAAAAACATTATAGTGGTCGAAACCAGTGTAGTCCTAAGCTAAATAAAATATTGCGGGAAAGATAAAAATTTATTTCAACAAACCTGTTTGAAATTGACATGCATCTGCAATCAATTCATTACTTACTAAATACTTGTTGATTTCACCATTTGGCATCTTGTAAGTCTCTTTTATCCGCTGTATGTACTTCTTGGATGTCTCGCTGCCTTTTTCAATTCCTACCATGGCATTCAAGATGAATTCTATATCGAAATTGTCTACGAAAGATTTGCCTTGGTCTGCCATAATTTCGGAGCTGAGACATATCACCTGAAATATTTTTATTTGTAAAAACTATACATTATAAAAAATTTTATTTCAAATTCTTTATAAAAGGTATATAATAAAATGCCCAAACGGGCTATCATAATTACATTACAGAACGTTTTCGTAATGTTAATTCCATTATTAGTGTATTAACATTCCGAAAACGTTCTGTAATGTAATTGTGATAGCCCGTTTGGGCATTTTATTATATACCATTTATAAAGGATTTAAAATAAAATTTTTTGTAATATATGGTATATAGCTAGCTACAGGAACTTAGTTTCCTAGTGGAGTAAACATTATAATCAAATAATAATGATTTAAAATGCTTATCGAAATTTCTTCAGAAATTGCTTTTTTAAAATGCTTTTCAGAAAGTAGACTCAGAGGCCAACGTTCCTAGTGTTCCTGCTTAATCGTATCGCTTATATTATATTTATTATTGAAATAATCTAGAAATTTTACAATGTTTACTAAAGCTATAAAAAATGTGCCAATCCATCTCCCAATGTAAAATTTTATAGACCCTCAGTAATTTTTAAAATTGTAAAACGTAAATCAATTTTGAAGATATCACATGACTTCAAAATATAACGAATGCATAATCAATGCATAATCTCCAAAAATGTCACCGTTGCTTAAAGAAAGTAAACCGATAGTAGAAACCCAAAATGGGAAGCTGTGTCAGGTAACATGACATCAAGTCACCAAACCGTCCTTTATCCAATAACAGAATGACATAGTAAAAATAATAAATAATCAATGAAATTGTATTAAATTATTTACAATAGATTTATTATTTTTTATCTATTGATTACAGTTTGATTATTTATACGTCATAAACACTGATTTATTCTCAAACCACTTGACGGAAGCTAAGCATATGCTTAATGAACTTTAATCAGAGTCGGTTTGAAAATTAGCTTGAGTGACACCAAAATGATAGCCAACTTGCTATTTTCATGATTGACTAGCAGGGCCTGTGTTAGCCGCATTAGCCATCTCCGTTTTCTTACTCGCCTTCGCAAGCAGTGAGAGATCATCGGCATAAGCTACAACAGTACATCCCCTTCGTATCTATAGCGTCAACATCCCGTCATACAGAACATTCCACAGGATGGTACTTAGTACTGAACCCTGTGAAACACCGTGCGACAAACTGATGCTGGTATCTTTTTCTCTTATTGATCTGTCAGTAAAGTCTCTGTCAATTACATTGATCAGGTACTCACTAACGCCAAATTCTCTCTGCTTGGACATGATTTTTCCCATGATGCTATATTAAAGGCATTCTTGACGTCAAGCAGAATGAAAGCCACCTATCTCTTTGTATCCTCCGTAACTAAAGACAAAGGACTTTTTGGGTCTAAAACAAAACAATATTGGCGGTCGCTCAGTGCATGCTTTTCTTCTAGCTCTTGCTCAAGGCGGCCTTTTACAAGCTGTTTGTATAATTTAGCTATCGAACTAAGAAGGTAAATTGGGCGAAATCGTACCTCTTCCTCTTCACCTCTACCTTTCAAGATAAGGATAACCTTAGCTTCTTTCAACATTGTTGGAAACTTTTGTTGTTCAAGCAGTTTGTTTAGCAATCTCAGGAAAACCTGCGGAAGTTTTAGTACGTTTTAGTCTTAATGTCTCCGGCATAATTCTATCTATGCCAGGTGCCAACCGAGATCCTGAAGCAGGTTACTCCACCTTTCTTTTTTAGATCTTCTTATCCTATTCCTTTATGTATTCTGCATTCGCTTTAATTCATTTATTATCTCTTGTAAATATCCTGCTTGCACTCTTCGTAACCTCTTACATTCTCTTCTTACTCTCATGCAATTTGTTCTCAGATTTTCAAGCTGCTTTTATCAGTAGTGTTGTTTTCTTTCATACCTCCTATTTGAACTTACACAAGAAAACTGTGCATCACTCAGACCCTTAATTAACTCATGCACATTCACACATCCCGGACCAATCAAGCCAAAATCATCTACAAAAACCTCATTTAAACATCTCTTTAGATTGATATCCTCATTCTTACGTTTTTGTCTATTGCTAGTTATTTCAAAACTCACATACTTGTGTAAGCTGAGCGATTCTTCTTCCAAGAGAGACCAGCCTTACGACCCTGTTTAGAAACGTCGTTGAAACCAGTGTGATGTCCAGAAAGTATTCACTATATGACAGAAATCTTGTTTTTGATTCTGACGGTCCGCTGTATGGGATTTTAAGCTTCCTTACTAAAAATTCTTATAATACTAAAAAATATTGAATCAAGAGGACGGTAATGTTTTTGATTTATCAAAATACTCTTCAATTAGACTGATTTATATTTAAGTCATTTTATTTTAATTGTTAATAAATATAGAATTCTTAAGCTTATTTCTTACTTTCTACTTAACAAAATAATACTTGATCTGTAATAAAATTTAAATTTTTTAAATGGAAAATTAATGTAAAATTACCTCGTTAGAAGTATAGCCCATCATTATAGGAACTTTGTTATAATCTCCAGTTAGTATATGCTGCAAAGGGTGTTTAGTAATAAACGCTGTATCATTTGGTATTTCTTCTATCGGACCGAGAAGCCCTAACGTTCGTGATGGAATGCTCTGTAAAATAAAGAAATTCTTATTTCAATGATTGGATATAATAAATTTTATTTGGATTTTACATAAGTGCGTTTATTATATTGTAACACAAGAAAATTTAGTATGATTAGAATTAATACTGTTAGTATCGCTTAAGTTTACTGATGCGTCATTAATATCTGTCAAGATAAAACATACTTTGAATGTACCAGCTTATGCTTCTGCACATGAAAAGTAATCAAATGAGAGTAAAACTCTTGGATACCTCCTGGCCTTCCTTTATTTTACTTGTGTTGTTCTTATAAAGGCCTTGAGCAGCCTTGATTAAGGTTACACTAATATTTGTTTTCTCGAGAGCTTCCCAGAGTTTTTGTTGTGGTACACTATCATAAGCTTTTTTAAGGTCCACGTAGAGGAGATGTATTGGTTGATTTCGTGCTACTTTTTTTTTCGATTAGCTGGGTAAGAGTAAACAGATGGTCAATAGTAGATCTGTTCTTTGGCCTCCATATCACAGAAAAGCCGGCCTGTTCTTCGGCCTCCATATTACAGAATTCATTTTCCATTCTCTTTTTGATGAGTTTTCCGTCAACTCTTGAGACGGTGTTAAGGACTGTGATTCCTCGATAATTGCCACATACATCTTTACTTGCCTTTTTATGTATTGTCGTGATAAACGATGTCCTCCACTCTTCCGGTATACTCTTTCCATTAATACATTTCTGGAAAATGCTGGCTAGCTGCTTATATAATTTGCTTGTACCGTACTTGAGTAGCTCAGGTGGAATATTGCCAGAACCTGGTCATTTTCTATTCTTTAATGTTTGGCATACTCGTGCTACTTCTATGTCGTCAATCCTAATTGGGAAAGCTATTGTATGTACTTACACCTCTGATTGTGTTTGTGGTGTTTGCAAGTCTTCTTCTTCTTCAGTGCCTTATCTGGTCCAGATGTTGGCGATCATCAAGTTGACTGCTCTGCGAAACAGCTCCGCTGAGGTCATACCAAACCATTGTCGGAGATTTTTCAACCACGAGATACGACGGTGTCCCGGTCCTCTTCTGCCAAATACTTTACCCTGCTTAACGAGTTGAAGAATTCGATATTTTTCTTCGTTTCGCATCACGTGGCCGAGGTACTCAATAATATTAAGACTAGACTTGCAAGTCTAGTCTTAATATTTAGTTAAAACATCGATCGTAAAATCGAAAGTATATAGTTAAGCGAATAGTCCAAAGGGTGTAAATATTTTTATTACAATGCACTATTACTAATTGCTAAAACATTGAATGGTATTGTAGAACAAACTTTTTGTATATGTTTAGCGTTCATTAATATCAAGCAACCAAAAAAAAATATATTTACCTTTGTGAAATTATCCATAACGTCATACAATTCTCTAGCAGATAAACTTTTGAAATATTGTAAAGCTTCTTTGTCAGATAGGCTACCTTTCCCCAAAAATTGCAAAAGACTCTTTGCAAATCTTTGTCCAGGAGCCCAGAAGCTACCGACTGAACCTGAAATATTAGAAGAATTAAAAAAGCAATTTTAATAAATAATAAAAATTTTAAGTAATAATACTAACCGCTTTGGAAAATTGCCCTATGGAAAAATCCTTTAGCTGCAGGAGAAGCTACTAAATACTCAACAGAAGCAGCTCCAGCACTTTGTCCAAAAATCGTAACATTATCAGGATCACCACCAAAGTTTTTAATATTTCGTTTGACCCATTTGAGTGCTGCAAGTTGGTCTTTAAGTCCAGCGTTTCCGTAGATTTGTAAGGAAGGATCTTCAAGTGACAAAAATCCAAGAATACCTAATCTGTAGTTGATGACAACCAAAACAACGTCTTCAGTGAGAAGATACTCAGGTCCTAAGGTGTCAGGACCATTACGTCCTTCATGGTAGCCACCTCCATGAATGAAAACCATAACAGGGTTAAGTTTTGAACCTTGTGGGATGGGCTAAAATATAAAAATACAATTTTTATCATATATTATATAACAAGTGATTTTGCTGGTTGCATGCGACGGTGTATCCAATTACTTGCCATCTACAGTCACTCATTAAATTTTTAAAATAAGAAACTTCTTGCATGTAAACCGAGTAAAAATAAAGTATGGTTTGGTGCTCTTCTGACCTGACATCATGTTTTTTACTATATTCTACATATTATATATATATATATATATATATATATATATATATATATATATATATATATATATATATATATATTTATATATATATATATATATATATATATATATATATATATTTATATATATATATATATATATATATATATATATATACCACATTATAATGTAAGAAGTGTGTACCTTACAGTTACGGTAACCTATATGAAGAAAATTGTATGAGTTTTGGTCTAGTGTTCAGAGTAAAGTGAAATTGTTGGCTTTTCGTTCAACGGCTAAACCCATGAAGCGCTCTTCTAGTCTGAGGCGTGTATGTTTGAATACAAATACAGATACAAAATGAATATATTATTATGACAAATGAGTTTAAAATAAACATAGACGCAAAACGGAACAGACCGACCGCCTGTTTCAAAAAATCGCTATAACTTAACAATTTCAAAAAGGAGCAAAATTGTTCAAGAGACTAGCACTATTCACTGCATGGTAGATAGCAGATGACAGATACTGCTCTATTGATCAATCCTTTCGTCGTCGTTATGAACACCACCCTGGAAACTTCGCCTGGATCTGGATCCAGTCATAAAATTGGCTGGAGTCAAAGGACAAAAGTCATTGGGGACTAATAAAAAAGGAGATATAGGACGACTATTAAGGATAGATTTTACTTGCTTGAGTATTTTAGAGAATTCCTCAAACGTGAAGTGAGCATTGCCGATGACGCGTTTTTAATGCGATTTCATTGACTTAACGCCGGCGTCCCAAAGGCCACCGAAGTGCGGCGATTGTGAAGGTATGAAGTGCTATTCAATACTTTTGATTATTGAGTGGTCTTGAATCTCATTCTTGTTTGTCTTGAAAAAATCATAAAACTTTTAGTTCACGATTGGCACCCTGAAAGTTAGTTCCATTATCACAGTACATAAGAGGTTTTCCTCTTTTGCTTACAAAGCGCTTAAAAACTGCTATAAATGAACGAGTAGTTAAATCGGATACTAATGGAGTTCTAACTGAACAGCACGAGTTGTGAAACATACGAATAAGCTACATATGCCTGTTAAAGTTTGCATCCACGCCCCTTTCGATCCTTGACTAAAAATAACCCGCGTAATCTACGCCTGTGATATAAAAAGGAGGAGATGAGTCAACACGATCCTTCGGCAAATCACCCATAATTGGAGACAGATTTTTAGACAGACTATCAAAGAAGAATATTAACAGCACACTACAGCAAGACACCACACTTATACGGAGTTCCAAAAATTCAAGAAGAAAATGAATCGCTTAGACCGATTTGCAACAACATAGGTTGTCCTTGCAGCAGACTGTCAAAGTTGATTCTGGACACAATAAAGCCTTTAGTACACAACACATTATCTTTCATCAAAAACTCACAGCGATTCTGGAAAAACTAGTAGAAATAAATTACAATTCTTTCAATGTGCTAGTCAGTTTTAACATTATTCTTTTCACTAATGTATTATTGAATAAAACTATAAAAATAATAAGAGGCAAACTAAAGAGGGATAATACATTGTCAACAAAAATCTAACTAAATGTTTAGCTATCATACAGCTACCAACAGTTTGTACAGATAACACTTAGTTTCAACTAGATAATGATTTCTATAAACCAAAATTTTATATTTATCATGGGCTCATGCTTATCTACATTATTAACAGATATATTAATAGAGGATTTTGAACGAAACATTATACACAAAAACACACAAACAACTTACATTATGGTGAAGCCATGTAGATGATGATGTTCTCTCGGGCCAGAAGCAGTGAATTAATTTCTCAAGAACATCAACAATAAAGAAGAATAACTTAAAGTCATCATGGAACACGAAAACAACAACTAACTTCGTTTTCTAAATCTGCTGATCACAAAAGAAGACACAGAGTATGCAACCAAAATCTACAAAAAACCAACCCACTGCAATATATAATCAAAATAAACATTAGAAAAGTCGAAACGTCAAGCATAAGTTGGTTAAAAATCTGATTTTCATTACAACCAATAATTATGGCTAAATCCCATATAAATATAATACGGAATTTGACATGCCACACGAAAGTAATTTCAGAACCCTGTAGATGATGTGATGTGACCGTGCCGGTCTCAACTTGTGTAGAGGAGGGACGCTGAACTAAGTATGAGCCCTTCAGCACTTTGTGCAAGACAGACTGGACGGGGAAGTCCTCAACCCGACACGGTGCATCCCAATGGCTGATAGGGAACGTTCCTGTAGATATGCAGGACAGGTATCAATAAGGCTTCGTCCAATAGGTACTCGCGGATCAACGGATCGTCAGCAGCTGTGTCATTAGGGGCCCGTGGCTAAGGAATACAATTCCTGACAGGTGAGGTACCACAAAGTCGCAGGCGAAAATTAAATGCTGATTTAACCAGCTGTGGTACTGCGATCACTCACCAACCCGTCCGGCAAGCGTGGTGTTTTATTGCCAATATACCCCTTAAAACACAACATGTTGAACTTAAAACAAAATGGGACGATACCCCAGGTGGGTAGAGCTAGCAGATCAGAATCCCACACAGAAAAACCGGTCAGCCTCATGGATTCTGGGGGAGGCACAATCTTAACAAAACGCGCCAAAATAGGTAAAAACAAACAAAAACAGTTGCTACTAGCCACATACAACATCAAATTTATGGCTAAATATGAACAGGTCTACTAATTAGAAGAAGAACTATTTAAGATAAAAAAGAATATTGTAGGACTCTCAGAAGTAAAAAGAGGCGGCGAACAATGCATGCATCTAAACTCTAGAAATCGCTTATACTATATAGGGAAAATAGACGATACCTATGGTGGAGTAGGATTTCTTGTCAAAAAGTATCTCACACCATATATTTCTACATATAAAAGTGTTTCTGATAGACTAACTTATATTATAATAGACCTAGGTAATAAAACCATCGAGAAGACGTAGTTGAAATGTTCTACGAAGATTTAATAACAGTATTCCAAGAAAATAATATAAGTATACCATCATTATGGGAGATTTCAACGCAAAATTAGGTAAAAAAGAAGAAAATACTGAAACAAAAATAGGGATGCATGATTATTGCACACAAAATGAAAGAGGAGAAAAATTATATAACTTTTTATAACAAAAACATTTATATGCCATGATCACACACTTTTGAAGATATAACCGCTCTTAATTGATTCACAACTGGCAACGATCATCGCCTTTTAAGAGCAAGGATTCGTATTAAACAGACGGAAATCAGTAGAAAAATGCCAAATAATTATTTCAATCAGATAGATCAAACTGAAATGGAACAGAAGGAAGATGAGTACAGACAAGTCTTAGGAAGAGAATTTATAGAACATTATCAACAAGAATATTTCAACAGAACATTATCAACAAGAACATGAACACAATTATTAAATAAATGCAACGAAAGCTCTTAAAGCAGGACTGACTGTTGCAAAGAAAACGAAAAATAAAGAAGACAGAATAAGTGATGGAACAAAACGGTTGATAGAAAAGAGACGTACATTTCTAAGTGAAGAAAAGCGAACCACCAACGGTTTTTAAATATAAAGAAAGGAGTAAAGAAAGATTTAAGGATCTATAATAAAAACAAGGTAGCAAAAATAATAGAAAAAAACCGAGGCCAGAAATGCTTAAGATCAAACTTAGGAAAGCCTAAAATGTTGTCACTAAAGGAAAAATATGGAAAATAAATAAAGAGAAAAAACGAAATCCTAAAAGATGCTCAAACATTTAACCGTGATTTATATTCCTCAAACAAAAACCCAGATAACACAACAAAGCAAGATCTTAAGAGAAAGATAACGAATGTCAAATCAGAAATACTCCCTAATATAGAATTCTTCAAAATAAAACAAGCTATGGCACAACTAAAGAACAATAAGGCTCCAGGCCTAGATGGAATACTTGTAGAAATGTTTGGGGGAAAGGAGGGGAGTGAAATTATTCTCGAAAAATTGAAAATTTTTTTCAACGAATATCTTCACAGAGGAGAAGTCTCAGATGATTGGAATGCAAGTTTAACAATACTTCTCTTCAGAAAAAGAGACAATGGAGATCTGAAGAACTATGGGCCAATCTCCTTGTTCAAATGTACAAACTGTTTATGAGAATAATAACTAAGAGGTTAACGTCGAAGCTCGATAGTTATCAGACGGTAGAGCAGACAGGTTTCCGAAGGGGTTACAGTACAGCAGATAATCTTCTTCCAGTCAGACCGTTAACAGAGAAAGCCAATGAATATCACTTGAACTTATACATTGGCTTCGTTGATTATGAAAAGGCAATCGACTCCACAGAACTTTGGGCAATACAGAGAGCCATGAACAACTCCAGGATATACTCCCGATACAGAATTCTCATACAGAATATTTACAAGAAAGCTACAATGAAAATACAAATAGATGCAAAAACCAAAGCTATGCCAGGAAGATGTTTTCTCACCAAAGCTATTCACACTTGAAGTGAAAGACGTTTTCAAAGACATTAACTAGATAGATAAGGGCATAAATGTTAATGGAAGAAAACTGAGTCTATTAAGATCCACTGATGACATTGTAATATTCGCTACAAGTTTTAAAGCACTACAAACTATGATGACGCAACTATTTCAAGTTTCGGAAAAAGTAGGTCCTAAGATGAACTTAGAAAAAACAAAAAATAATTACAAATACACCGAACATTAGAAAGAAACGTTGAATGACATAAATTTAAAAACAGTAAGCGAATACATCTACCTGGGACAGATATTGAAAGAAGAAATTATCAGAAGAA